CATTTAGCAACTGACATACGGTTTAATGTGAAGACAAAAAAAAAAAAAACATCTGCGGATTTTCGAGATCTGTCCAAATCCGTCGAGTTATTGTTAATCGGCAAAAAACTCCACCCCCTGTAAACGAAACAAGTTTTCCGGTTTTTCGGAAGCAAACAGTCAAGGAAAAGAAAAGAAAAAAAAAACTCTCCGTCACGCCCTGCGCCTGTGAACAGGGCAGGGCGGTTGTTTGCCGGTACTTTCAGATTTTCGAACAACCACCTGTGTGCAGAGAAAAGTTGCACTTTTTGCATGGGAAATTATTGGACACATTGTTGTGCACGGACCGTACAAACGACACAGGCCCAAACGCACACAGCACCCCAATGGGTTTCAGACAGTTAGCCGATGAAATGCGAAGAACAAATTACCATGCCAACAAACAACGGACACCCAGCGTGGCAGAATGAAAAGAAGTCCCCCATCCGTCCGTCTTCTTGCGCAACTAGGTACGAAAATAGGCCGGGCGAAAACGCGCGCTTCAGCCGGCTTGCAAGCGTTCGGCTTCTTTCTATTCCCGACGTTTGACATCTCGTACCCCCGGGTCGTCGTATTTGACGGATGGATTCATCCAAGTGAAGCACAGGTCTGGCTAACCACCAACAACGACGCGCGAAATGTGGCATTGAAACATGGGGGGTAGATAAATCAGACCACAGCAATCTTTCGGAAGGATGTGGAGATCTGATTTCTTGCAATGTAGGGTTCCCACCTTTTTTTGACCCGAGAATTTTGACACAAGGCAGCTCGGGTCAAAAAAAAGTGACGGTTGATATTTTGACACGAACTTATTTCGCCGCTTGGTACCTTTCGGAGGTCAGCAGCGGCGAAATCTCGATTTTAAAAAAACACTCAGCGCAAGACCGAAAACCTAACGGCTGAGCCTCGGAGCCTCCACCCCGTAAACGCTACGAACCGAGGGAATGGCGCGCCTTGAACGAGGTAGAATCCGCTATGAGCGGTATGATGAATGCATGCAGATCATGGCTCTGGCCCTGCTCTGCGCATTGGCCGGAGAGGAGGACTTGTTTCTCGTGATGACCATGTTTGGTCTTGTCAAACTGCAACCGTCCCTGACGCGGATGTTTGCTCGTGCGAACCCTCGATGAACGCAACCGTCCCTGACGCGGATTGGCACCAGCAGGAGTGCGATGTGCTCCCGGGATTGTTTTTGCAGACGTGTGTGGGTGTGCGGCAGTGCTTTGCGAGCTGGTAGGCGGAGTTGATCGCTTTGTGGGGGCTTCGGGGGCACCTCGTGTCAAAA